TTCAGGGATCTCTTTCTGAAAAAAAAAAATGGGGAGGATATAGGAATGACAATCTACTTAACTAAAAAGCAGCTACTAGTTTTATTTATATTGGTATGGATTTTTGTACACTCATACAAATTTAAGGTTATTTTTATTTTAACATATTGTATATATGTTTCTACTCTTGTTTAAGGTACTTTACCTACGAAGTTCATTTTAAAATGTAATGTTAAGTTCTAGTCCTTGAAAGCTATTATTACAAACTATTTAGGATAATTAAGAAATGCAGGTTAGTAGTTAGTCATCTAAAACAATCAAACTTTTAGTCATGTTAGGTATGTTTTCAAGGTCCAACAGATATACTTTAGATAGATAGGTGGTCTTAAAACACTTCAGAGACTGACAGAATATGACATTTAAGATGTTTTAATAACACAAGACTTTTCATGACCGTGAGATGTGTCTACTCCTGGCAATGTCAATCTACTTCAAAGAAGATGATGGGCATTGAAGAACCTCCATATGGAATTTGCTTTTATTGTGGCAAAGTCAGTCACTGGGTAAGAGACTGCCCTTGACTCAGATGCTGACAACATGCTGTCCAAATAGGACAAGCAGGACAGAAAAGAAGGTGACTGCCAAACTTTGCCAAGACAAGATAGGACAGTCCTTCAAAATTCCTGTTTCAAAGAAAAACCTGTCAGATATTCTAAGCCTGTAGACCAAAGATGGATGCCCTAATACTGCAGAGAACCTTGGATGACTATCAAGGCAGCCATTTGTTTCTGTCATTTCTATTGCTTTAGAAGCTGCTTGCTCTGCACTTCCTCTTTACTCAGGTAAAAATTTATCCTCCTTGGGTCTCTGATGGGAATTGAATGCTACATAGTTATACCATCTTCTTTGTTACCAAATTCAGAAGAGAAAATTACAAAAAGAGATGCAAAGTTTATAGGGCTGAGAGACACAAAAGCTTAAGTTATCTAAAAAAATGTTTTTAGCTCTAAAAGGATATTTTTAGACTAGTAATACAAGTGTGTGGTGTATGTGCACATCTTAATGTGACTGTAGGCACAAGAATAGACATGCACCATGTGGGGGTCAGAGGACAACTTCTACCCTCTTGCTGTTTGCTACAGCATGTGCCAAGAAAGCTGGTCCATGAGCTGGGATTTTTCCCATCTCCACTTCCCACTTTTCTGTAGGCATGCTAGGATCATACATGCTCTACTGAATCATCTTTATGTGGGTTCTGGGGATCTGAACCCAGTCCTCACACTTGATAAGAAACACTTTATCCTCTGATCAATTTTCTCAGCCCCCCATTATCTTTATAAATTACTTCTTTTCCTGTCTTCTCACTCTTAAATGACTATAAAATATTATCTGGAGCTTCATTCTGTTTTATTTTGTATGAGACAATATCTAATCCAGTACAGTACAGGCTGGTCTCAGACTACAGCAATTCTGCCTAAACTAAAATATGTCAAAAGCTTCAGAAATGCCACTTAACCCCCACAATGATCATTTAACCAAAGCACATAAAATAAGTTGCTCTCAGATGGAAACTTGTGACTATTCTCATTAAGAACTGTCTAGATGTTACTATATATATATATAATGCTATGAAGCACAAACAAGGAGGTTAGCAAATGGCTCAAACACATGCATGAATACTTATTTTATAAACCACAACCATCTTAATAAACTCACACTACTTGCTGGTATAGAATCTTCATAATTTCCACAAATAATCAGATATTCTACCCATGAATACCTCTAGACATTTGTTTTAAGCTCAAATTCTGGCTGTTTGCCACACATCTGCTGTCATTAGTAAAATTGAAACTAATTTTACTAAAATTCAAACCATCTGAATGCTCCTTAAAAATTTAAGGATGTCTTAGCAAGCCTCTGCTCCTTAATGAGCTGCTCCTGACTTCACCATGTGATTTGAATTATTCAAAAGTCAATCTAAAACTCTTAAGTATATAAATTATCTTTCAATCAAGCAATTACTTGGTATCTATCTGATAGCTAACAAGGTCTAATTTGGCTTAGGCAAATCTTGAAAAAGAGCCCAAAATAAAACTGTCAATAAACAATGTATTTCTACTATAAGACAATTAAACTCAAATTTTTATTAGTCCTCAGGGAAAAAAGAAACAAACCCATGGATGTCAATTTTAAAGATTCTGTATAGTGGAACCAACATTTAATATATTTGTCTGAGTTTATGTTTACCTAAGAAAACCACTATCTAATATATTTGCCCTTAATTATGTCATCTCATCAACTGTTCTTTTCTTTACTGGGTTTTAATAATAAGCATGCTGAATTCTGGACTTAGAGACTCAATACACTTTTTATTCCTTCAACTAGTAATACCCAACTCTTTAAAAATTCAATCAATTAATTTTGTGTGTCTATATGTGCATATATGTGAGTTATGTAACCCATGTGTGCTATGACATGTGTGTGGAGGTCAAAGGATTTACTAGAAAGGCTCACAGGCTGTGTTTCATCTAGTCCAACACTGGCTGACTGTCCACCACCAGAAGGTTGAAGAATCCATAGTTGTTTGGTCCATGTGGCCGGAAGCCCAGTCTCAGCTAGTCTTTAGTATACACTGGAATCTGAAGAAGTAGACTCTAATGCCAGTGAAGAGATGGACTTGCTTCCTTCTTTCATGTCCTTTACATATGCTGCCAGCAGAAGGTATGGCCCAGATTAAAGGTGGGTGGATTTTTCCACCTCAAAAGATTTGGAGTAATGGTGTATCTTCCAATATACCACAATGGTGGCATAAACCTTTAATCCCAGCACTTAGGAGGCAGAGGCAGGCAGATATCCAAGTTCGAGACTAGCCTGGTTTACAGAGTGAGTCCTGGTTTACAGGACAGCCAGGGCTGTACAGAGAAACCCTGTTTTAAAAACCAATACATACATACGTATTCACATACATTACATACATACATGCATACATACATATATACATGCATAAAGATGGATCTTCCCACTTCAAAGATCCTGATTAGAAGTGGGTCTTCCCACTTCAAATGACTTAATTATAAAAAAAAAAATCTCTCACAGGCATACTCAGCCATTTGGGTTTTAGTTCATTTCAAATGTAGTCAAGTTGACAACCAAGAATAACCATCACAATGGGGCACTTTGAGAGGGAAGATAGTGAATTTTTTATTTGAGTAAATTTTATTCTGTGAACAAAGGGAAGTCAAGGGGAAGCTCTAAAAGAAAATGAAACAATCTATTGTTTAAGGACCATGCTGGCCATATGGAAAATCAATACAGAGGCCAAGAGGAGAAGCAGCCTTCTGTGGTTTGAATAAGAATGCCCACCATGGGCCCAAATATTTGAATACTTGGAAAGGATTAGGCTGGATTAGGATTGGGGCTGGAGAGAGAGCTCAGTGGTTAAGAACATTGGCTGCTCTTCCAGAGGACCCTCCGTCTCCCTCCCACCTCCTTCCCTTCCTTCCTTCAGGTTTTGCTGTAGCTTTGGAACCTGTCCTGGAACTAGCTTTTGTAGACCAGGCTGGCCTCGAACTCACAGAGATCCGCCTGCCTCTGCCTCCCGAGTGCTGGGATTAAAGGCGTGCACCACTACTGCCTGGCTCAGGTGCCACATCTTGTTCCCCACCCAATTCTTCCTCCTGTCTAGGAAGAGAGAGCCTAGCTGCAGGTTCTTTGTCGTGAGTTCATGGCCAGTATGGAATATGTAATCTTGTCTCAAAGAGTTTTAAAAATATAAATAAAATAATAAAGCTGATGTGCTTATGAAATGCTCAGTGAACAAAAGCACTTTTTACACAACTTTGGTGAGTAGGTTTGATCCTCCACACTCATAGGAAGGTAGAAGCATCAACTTCACAAAGTTGTCCTCTGAGCTCCAGATGTGCACGTACATGCATGTAAACACACGCGCACGCGAGCGAGCACACACACACACATAATAATTTTGTTAAAGGCTGGGCTAGCTCAATGGTAGAGTACTTGCCTCTTGTGTGAGTTCAATCACCAGAACAGAAAAAAAGGAACAAACAAAAAACAACAAAACACCAATGTATGTTTTATAGAATTGAATGGATATAAAATATTAGCCAATAAATAGCACATCCATTGGGAACAGGTTGTCAAGAGTTAGGTATTCTAAGGTCTTTGCATTTTCCAAGGAAACTTAAACATTGATTATCTTTAGTCTTTGAAGTAATAATAGAATATATAACTTCTATATAAAATTGGAAATTATAGATATTATTTTATTTTATTTTTGGTTTTTCTTAAGACAGGGCTTCTCTGTGTAGCTTTGGACCCTGTCCTGGAACTCAACTCTGTAGACCAGGCTGGCCTTGAACTCACAGAGATTCACCTGCTTCTGACTTCTGAGTGCTGGGATTAAAGGTGTGCGCCACCACTGCCCAGCATATAAATACTATTTTTAAAAAGATTTTTAAAGCAGATTATAAATCTATACATATATAAATCCTGTCTCAAGAAATCAAAATACACATTGTTTTCAAATACATGAGGGCCACTTAAAAAAACTATTCAGATAAACCAAAACTTAGGCAATAAACGTCATGCCTTAATCAGAGACCAAATGACAAAGCCCTAGCAAGCTTTAAAAGGAAACACCACTAGAAGTAAAAAAGAACCACATATGCAACATAACAGAGTAAACAAACATTATAAGTTTATGCAATAAACTGGTGCGTGTGTGTGTGTCCGCGCACGCCGCGCCTGCACTGTGTTTGTTTGTATATGTGAGTGCAGGTACTTGTGTGGCCCAAATGTATGTGGAGGTCAAAATAACCTCAGGAATTGGTCCTCACCTTCCACTTTGGAATATTTTTGTTTGCTGCAGCTCCCCACCCCCGCCCTCAAACACACACTAGTCCAGATAGTTTTACAAGCAAGTTCTATTATTCAGAAGCCAATAACTTTACACTCTTCCAATACAGAAGAAATGTCAAAGCTTTCAGCAAGTGTACACATACCTGTTTCCTTAGATGCTGGGGGTTTTCCTGCTCTTGGAGCTTGTGATCCCTGCCCTCCTTTGTGGACTTCTGTAGAGTACAACTTGACTCTACTCAGAGTACAAGCATGTGGGTGACTGTTGGGAACCATGTACGTAAAGCTTCCAAATGTCATTAAATTCTTCCATCCTAAGAGAAAAAAAAAATCACTTTACTTTCAAAACAACTCTCAAATATACAATTAACAAAACAAATGTTTGACTTGAGATATTTCCTTAGGAATAAAAGAATCAAGTATTTCAACTTTTTCCTATTTATATTTGATTTAGAAACTTTAATATAGACATATATGTACATATATTATACATATATACACAATATACTATACACACGCACACACACACATAATCAAGCAAAACACTCATACTCAATTATTCCAAAAGGTACATAACAGATACTCTCTTATTTTGTATGCTGGCTGCATTAAAAAAAAAACTGGAATAATATAATGAATAGCAGACTCTGGGTAAGGGATAGTCATGAGGGCTTCCTGCTCAAAATTATCCCATGTCTTCTTTCTGTGAGCTGGAGAATTAGTCCTTTCATATCATAATCAATAAATGAACAGTAGTGAGTCCTGTTGTCTCTGACTTTTAATCAGATAACTAGATCACCATTTGGTGAATGCCCCAACACATGAGAATTTTCACTGAGAGAAGAACAGAAGATACAAAGCCCTTGAGCTGCTGCACCTTGGTTGACAGTGGCTTTAAAGAGACTCCACCATTTTAGTTAAGCGACAAAAAAGAGAACATCCACTCTCCTGACCTTCCCTTTTATGTATTACTGTGTATACTCTGAATTTCAGGTCTTCAAAGAACTCAAGAACTATTTAGATAAAATTTATAATTTTGAAGGTTTTACATGAATCCAACCATGTCATCAGAGATAATCCAGTTTTTACAATGGTTAGCATCGAGTGGGCACTGAAGAGCTGACACTTGGGTGGAGGACATAGCTCAGAGACAGGACCTTACCTTCTTTCAGCACCAGGGGGTAGAGCAGTACAATGTCTAATTGTTGAAAACTCATTTTTCCAAAACAGTGATTTTGGGGGAAACTTCCTGGTGTCAATGTATTCTTTTGTCTATTTGGCAGGCTGATCAAGTCCAACATGGTCTTGGCTATATGCATCTATGTCTAAAAGCTGAGTGACAAAAACCTATACATGTAACCTATCAAAAACATCTTCTTCACTGTGGCCACTGGTATTCTTTTTTTTTTTTTTAAATTTATTTATTATGTATACAGTATTCTATCTGTGTGTATGTCTGCAGGCCAGAAGAGGGCACCAGACCTCATTACTGATGGTTGTGAGCCACCATGTGGTTGCTGGGAATTGAACTCAGGACCTTTGGAAGAGCAAGCAATGCTCTTAACCACTGAGCCATCTCTCCAGCCCGGCCACTGGTATTCTTAAGGCAGAATAGGAAGGGGAACTAAGGGCATATGTGAGAAAGGAGCAGTGGTGCACACCATTTATCTCAATACTTGGAGAGCCAGAGGCAGGTGGATCTCTGTAAGTCAGAGGTCAGCCTGGTCTCCACACCAAATTCGAGGCCAGCCAAGGCCGCCTGGTGAGAACCTGCCATAATAAAATAACAATAGCAATGATGATGATGATGATGATGATAATAATAATAATGAGAAGGGATGGAAAGAAAATAATAATAATAATGAGAAGGGATGGAAAGAAAATAAACAAACAGAATGTACCTTGGATCTAGTTTGCCTTTCCTGCTGACTGAGAATCCAAAAATAAATTTCAGCACAATTGATAATCAAATTTGCCTGTAGTGATAATTTGTATTTTTCTAAAAAGCATCTCAAATTTCCTAAGCTTATTTAGGGCCAAATGTTGTAACTCAAGGTTTAGCACACTTCTTATCCCTAAATATAAACAATGAATCTCAAGAGTCAGAGACCAGGTGGGGGTGGAGGTAGACGAGATGGCTCAACGGAGAAAAGCACTAAGAACCAACCCCAGAGTGTTATCTTCTGGCCTCCACAAGTGTGCTATATGATATGTATGCTCTTATACCCCCAAACACATATCAGACACAGTCACCCACAATAATAAATAATTCTCTAAAAAAGAGAAAGTCCTTGGCCAGCTGTCACAAACATGGCTTTTCCATTCCTGTGAACAGACCCATACTGTGCCTGAGATCTCCTTTAAACATTTTTAAAGCCATACAACTGGCTGTTTTTTTCTATTCGCATTCTTTAAATATTGAATAAACTAAGTTGTTTGTCTGAATTTCTGCCCTGGTAGTTTCCAGTCTGAACTTTACTGACTGAATTCCCAGGATGCTGTTTAACCTATTCCATGTCCCACAAGTCAGAGTGTGTGTGGCAGCTTTTTCTGAATTCAGTTGCATGTGTAGGTGGTGATGAAGCCTCTCTGTGGGCTGGTTATTCTGGGCTGCGACTGTACCTCAGTGGTAGAGCACTGGACCCTGAGCAGCACAGTACAAGAAAAAACTCACCTAATATCTAGCTGTCCCTTTATTTACAGCAATGACTACTGCTATTCCATGCTAGATTCATTTATTGTTTAGGTGGCTTTAAAACTGTAGCTCCAATCGTATTACTTCTCCACTCTGTAGAATACCTTCACCCAGGGAAAGTTCCCCCTCTAGTTACTCAGGTGCTTAATTCTTCCTTCCCTCTTGTGCACCATTTCTCAAAACGCTAAGAGCACCACCTAGCACGCCGCAGAGATGGCCTGGTTTTAGTTTGCACATTTCATCACAATTCCAGATTTCAGTACGATGTGCGGTACATTTCAATCCATTTCAGTCACAGTCTTAAGTAATGCTCAAATGCTCTATTTCTGGCCAGTAGAGGGCTCTCAAATTTGAACACTATAGGGTTATCTTAGCTCCCTTGCTAGCTGTTTGGAAACAGACTTAATTTTTAATTTCAATAGAATGCCAGGTATTAACAGCTTTCCGTATACCTTTGCCACTAATACACAGCTGAAAACTGCTTATAGGGCAAAACTACACAGGTGCACAGGTGACTCAATAAAACCAATATAAAATCTAACACAGCAGCAAAAAGCATAATCAATCATTGTGGGATGAACCGCTGAATACATTAATTCCAGCTGGCAGAAATATAGTAAAACATATTTCCCAATCTTAACTCCCTTTCTTCAAGGTGATATCTAAAATTAGTTACACATGAACGTCAGTCTTTAGTCTGGCACTTACTGTTCTACTTGAATAGAGTTTTCTCGCTGCTGCACACCTAAGGACTGTTTGATCTACGTTGTAAAACTGCCGGGATCTTATTGGTTTAGTCACAACAACCAGGGGCCTAGTTACAAGGCTCTGCTTTCATTTTACTGCTTCTGTGGCTCCTAGCAGCAGCAGCAGCCACTGCTACTGTTCACTGCTTGCTGTCTCCAATCCAGTTTGTCATCTACTACTTATTTCATTGGCTTTCACTTTGAGACTAAGAAAAATATATACTATTTTCCTCCCCGCAAACTGACAATTCAATCTATTATGTGTGTTGCATCTGCAAAAAAATCAACAAAAAGACATCTTGTAGTTTGGGTTTGTTTCTAGCTAATTTTAGGGCTTGAGTCAAAGTTGTAGTCCATGTACCACACATCAGTCCCCTTACCTAAGAGACAATTTCAGTAGTTTCTTCCTTCCAAATTCTAAAGCACTGACATTAAAAACTCATAATTGCATGGCTAGAGAGATGGCTCAATGGTTACGAATACTGGCTGTTCTTCCAAAGGATCTGGGTTCAGTTTCCAATACTGACATGATTGCTCCGTAAGAAGCATCTCCATCTACAGAAGAAAATAAACTACAGGATACAGCAATGGCACTTGAGACACTTAGGCCATGTTATGAGAATAAATGACAGCAGATATGAGGAGATAGCACTGCTTGGAGGAGTGCACCGCTGGACAGACAGCATCAAGGAAGACTGTGGAACCTTGGCTATGACAGTAACACAAGCTTCTAGGACTGCCCAGGATAGGAACAGCTGGAGAACCGCCATTAACGGACTGCCCACGCATGTTTAAGTATTGCCGGGGCGTAAATGATAAAATGATGATGACATGGTAGCTCACAACCAACTCTAACTCCACCCAGAGGACCCAACACCCCTGTCTGGCATCCTCAGGAACGAGGTACACATGTAGTACACAGACATGCATGTAGGCAAAACATGCACATGCATAAAATAAATAACTTTTTTAAAAAAGTAAGCAATTGGGCTGTCTGACAGTTGAATTGACAAAATGTTTGCCTTATATGCATGGGAACCTGAGTTCAGTCACCAGTACACACATAAAACGCTGGGCATCTGCTGGAGAGGCAGCTAGAAGAGGATCCCCAGGACGCTCTGCCAGTCTATCACATGCTGAGCTCCAGGCCATGAGAGAGCTTTTCTAAAACAAGCAAACCAACAGAACCCAAGATGGATGGTAACTGAAGAATGATAACCAAGGCTGCACTTTGGCCTCAACACCTTTACATGAGTCCATACATACACACATGTGCACACGTGTACACACACACACACACACACACAGCCCTAGCTGTCCGGGAACTCTCTTTGTAGACCAGGCTGGCCTTACACTCAAGAGATCAATCTGCCTCTGCCTGGTCTACATAATGAGTTCCAGGACAGCCAGAGTTATGCAGAGAAACCTTATCTCAAACAAACAAACAAACAAACAAAAGACCAGTGTACAATAAGAAGAAATAAAAAGCACAAGTATCAGTAAGCGATCTGGAGCTTCATTAGATCCTAACGGACACTAGATACAGGGCTCAGTAGTTATGAGCACTTCCAGAGGACCCAGGTTCAATTTCTGGCATTCGCGCGGCAGCTAACAGTCTTCAACAGTTCTGATTCCAGGGGATACAAATACTCTTTTGGCTTCCATGAGTACTGCACACATAGGATGCACAGAAAACATGTAGGCAAAACACTCATACACATAAAAATTTTAAAATAGTCTATTTTTTTAAGAGATCTTATTAACAGCACTATCAAGTCTGTGGCAGTCTGTGCGATAGTAACACTCAGGAGCCCCATTTGACTTGTGTCCTTTCTGGTAGCCAACACGGCAGGAAAACCCTGCCTACTCATGTAGCAAACAAAGGTGTGAGCAAGACAGAGTAGCCCAGCCCAGGAGAATGGGCGTGTTATGCTTTTAACACCTGGTATGAAGAAAGTCAACCCCCCACACCTTTTTTTTTTTTAAATTTAGTTTTGAAGAAGGCAACAAGAGCAAACACTGACAAGTCCTGCACTACCTCTTGGATCATATCTTTACTGTCTTGCTTATTACTTCTGACATTTGCTAAGAAGAGGTAGAAACAGCCTGCAATTCAAAGACTTGAAGATAGAGACAGGAGGACCAAAGTTCTAGGTCAGTCTAAACTAAATGTCGAGACCCTGTCTCAAAAAGAAGGGTTGGGGGTAAAACCAATAAAAGCATCTAACATAATGTAAATCCTGTAACTATAAATAAGTTTACAATTTATTAGTATAGTAATGAACTGAAATATACATTTAAATATGCATTTATTTAATGTAAACCATTTTAAGTGCAATTGTTAGGTCACAGGGCACAAACCTCTTCAAGTTCCTTTTATACAGAGAAGAACTTTCTAAAACAATGCTCAGTTCTGCGGCCAATCAGTACAAGGGAGTTCCTGCATCTCCAATAAAGGGTATTGGGGCTGAAAAAATGGCTCAGCAGCTAAGTACTGCAAATGGTAATAATTCAAACTCCTAGTGATTCCATGCCCTCTGTTGGCTTCCATGTGCACATAAGCACACATACACAGGGAAAACATCAATGAACATAAAGTAAAAATAATTTTATTTTAAAATTTTGGCTACCGAACAATGCAAAACTATATTATGTGGCTGGGCTCTTGAATGTTGTCCTTTTTTCTTTGCCTTCACGGAGGTTTCTCATCTTTAAAAACTGATATCAGTCAGTGTTTTCCTCCTCTGTTCTTTTTTGTTGTTTTGTTTTTCAAGACAGGGTTTTGTTTTGTTTTGTTTTGTTTTTCCCCCCCCGCAGTCCTGGCTGTCCTGAATCAGACCCTGTAGACCAGGCTGGCCTCGAACTCATGAGATCTGCTTGCCTCTGCGGGGACTAAAGGCATGCACCACCATGCCTGGCCTCTTGGTTTATCCTTTAGAAGCCTTAACTAGACAGGTAAACATTCTAGAAGCAGAAAGTAAACTTTCTTTCTTCTCAAAGAAAATGATCTGCTTTTAGATCCCAGCTCCCTCTCCCAAAACAAAACAACAAGAACTTCAAATAGTTTTTCTTGTAGCATGCATCCAACTTAAATAGCACACTTTCTCCAAATGACTTTTAAATTTAACCATAGCTATGACTGCTCTCTCAAATACTGTACAAGATTTCTACAAAGGTAAATTTTTAGTCTAAAAGGGCTTTAAGTGTAAAAACATTCAAATTTTTTGTAGTAGTAAACATCCTAAAGAACTTTGCCAAGTCATCCCTAAATGAATGAGATAGGCAATTATTATCTGTGTTGCACAGATGAGGGAAAGAGCATAACATTTTTGGTCTGGTGACAGCTACACAGAGTAAGAATTTCAAATTACACTATTTCAACTCGTTTTACCAAGACTGAAAGGGAAGTGTGGACCACATTTAACAGTCACTATTTGAATTTTATTAAATATGCCAAAGTTTACTTGGGATTTTAGAATAGAGTATATAAACAGACGATCCATTCTCTTCTTAAGACATCAGGCATATTGGGAAAACTCCATAGCTACAGTTTTCTGTCACTACCAAAACCCCTAAAAGACCAGTGCTACTGTAATACATTCATTTGCAATCTTAGGAGCTAGCTTTTATGTTTATTACAAATAAGATATGAATATATTCTGCTTTACTTGCACAGCACAGGAGTCTGATACTGCTTTTACCACTCAAAAGCCCGAATGGCGACAGCTTTTGACTTCCACTTAAGTTTTTGAAGTCTGAATTTTGAGAAACGTTTCTGTAAACGCTCTTTGCAACTCCCAAAGATCTGGGGGATCTGGTGAGCAATGGATTTGGTCCTCTGCTCTTCCTATGAGTCCTATGTGCTCTGCTATGAGTCCTCTATGTCATGCTGTGACATGCCAAGCTATGGCAACGAGGGAGGTGAAGAGAAATAGGACTTACAGGTTTAATGCTATTTCAGAAATTCTCGAGCAAATTAAATTTGACTGAGAAAGAAACGCTGAAGATCAAAACGCAATCATTGCCACCCCCTAGAGGGGTTATATACTGTTTCAGGAGACATTTTCACCAAAAAGATTATTCAATGAAACTGCAAAGGTTTTTTTTTTTGGGGGGGGGGTTCCGGTCACCAAACTAGGCTCATCCGATAACTATGAGATGCCCACACCTTAAGATCCGTATGTGACATCCACTTTGATTTAGGGAGACTTAAGGAAAACGAGTTGGCACTATAAAGAAAACAACAACGCAGGAGTAGCTCAGTCCAACTAAGAGGCAGGTAAAATTGCAGCGGTAAACTCAAGGGACCCTCCAAGTTGCTGGAATCCACCATTTCCCAAGGCCTTTGGGTCACCGAGGGTCACTGCGATGAGGCGCTAAGCCCTCCGGTCCGGTGGTCCGCCTCGGGGTGTCCCCACGCCCGCTGGCCCCCGCGGGGACTCTGCAGCCGCTGCTCGCGGGGACGCCTGCGGGGACCGTGCGAGACCGGCGGGCTCTGGACTGGGGAAGGACAAGCTGGTCAACTGCCGAGGCCAGCAGCGGCCTCCGCCGGTCACTCACCCTGGCTGCGGCCGCGGGCCACTGCCCGGCCGCCACCGAGCCTGCACAGCGTCGCCCAGCTGCACCTGTGCGCCGCGACGGCGGCGGCCAAGCCCGGAAACATCCTGGCGGGGCAGAGGCCCCCACTCGGACACCACCTCCTGCCTCCGAGCCGCCGGCCGCGCCAACTGACTCCATAGACTGGACCCCAGCAGACACGGCTGTGTGCGCCGCCACCGGCGGCCTCGGCGACCCGGAAGTCGGGGCGGTGTGACGTGACGGCGGAAGCGACGCGGTACGCCGAGCAGGGGGCGGGGGGAGCGGCCCGTGGCGGAGACTGGGTGTGCTCCGTGTGCTACGTCACCAGCGGGCGGCGTGTGGAAGTGCACGTCGCGTTTTGAGGGATGAACAGTCTCCCGAAGGGCTGCCTGGCTCCGCGGGGTGGGACGTGGGAGGGGAAGGCAGGACATAAGCCTCTGTCGTCCCCCCCCCCCCGTGCCCTTTGAACCCTCGGCACCGCGCTGTCCATCACCCCAGATTCTCGACAGTGGTACACTAAATTAGACGCGTTCGTGAAAGTAAAGATTTTTACATGTTCATCATACTATGTGTACATGAAGATGGAGCAATTTTGAAACAGCCTAGTCCCAGAGAGAAAGAAATTTGAGCACCCTTCGCCTGTTTCAACTATTTCCATGCCAGGTTCATTTGGGTCTTAACTTAAACCTAAGAGACCTTCTTTGACCGCCGTAACTATAATTAACATGGTTATTATTCTCTAAGTCGTCCTTGCATGCTTTTCTTCAAAATACTACTACTGAAGCCGGGGGTGGTGGTACACGCCTTTAATTCCAGCAACCGGGAGGCAGAGTCAGGCAGGCGAATCTCTTTCGAGTTGGGGACCAGGGTTTCTTTGTGTAACAGCCTTGGCTGTCCTGGAACTCGCTGTGTAGACCAGGCTGATGTTGACAACTATTATGTCAGACAGACAAAAGAAGAAGTGGAAAATGATGAAATGTCATTTCATGATTCTCATACACCGTAATTCCTGAGAGGCTTTGACATCGAAATTCCAGCATGTATCAGACAATTCAAATACCAAGCTTGCTGTCCTTGGCTTCATCCTGTTTAGTTCTGGGACAATGATGAATCTAGTCAGGACACAAACCTGGCTAGCTATCTGAAAAACGGACTTAGATGATTCATTGTAAAGTAACGGGAATGGTTCCACACGGGCTAAGACTACACATTTAATTTTGAGCACAGATCTTTCTGCTAGGGTGTGTTCTTTTCCCCTTCATGATTAGTGGGGAAGGACCTTAACCACCTGAGATGGCTCAACAGGTAAAACTGCTTGCTGCATAAGGCTGATGTCCTAGGGTTTCTACGACGAAACACCAAAATCACCATGCCCAAAGAGCAAGTTGGGGAGGAAAGGGCTTATTAGGCTTACATTTCAGCTTAGGTGTTCATCACTAAAGGAAGTCAGGAACTCAAAACAAGGCAGGATCCCAGAAGCAGGAGCTGATGGGGACGGAGGCCATGGAGGGGAGCTGCTTGCTGACTCGCTTCCTCATTGCTTGCTTAGCCCACCTTCTTATAGAACCCAGGACCAGCAGCCCAGGGATGGCACCGCCCATCATGGGCTGGGCCCTCCCCCATTGATCACTTAATGAGAAAATACCTTAGAGCTGGATCCCATCAAGGCATTTCCTCAACTAAGGCTCCTTCCTCTCTGATGACTCTAACTTGTGCCAAGTTGACACACAAAACCAGCCAGTACTGCTGATAACCTAAGTTTGATACCCAGATCCCACATAAAGGTAGGTGATAACTCCATATAGAGTTGTCCTCTGACCTCCCCATGTGTGAAATGGCACATGCGCCCCCCATCATGAACACACATGTGCGTGCACACACACAAAAAAAATTTAAATATAAGTCAGAAGACTGGCAAGATGGCTTGGCAGATAAGAGCACTTGTCACCGCACCTGATGAGTTAAATTACCCGAGTTCACTCCCTGAAACCCACATGGTGGAAGGGGAACGAACTCTCACAGGTAATCCGTCTGTTCTCCCAAGACACACATACCTGGCGCTCACCATGAATGGGCTATTCAGTCAAGAATGGATTATTCTTACTCATTTTGACTCCAGCATTGTTGCGTGGGGGATTTCCCAAGTGTTTTGTTTCATAGACAAGATCTCAATGTAGCATTTGCAAAGAGAAGGAACACAGATCTATTCTGATCAGATGTTAGGGAGATTAAAAAAAAAAAAAAACTAAATTTGAGCTTGTTTTAAACAAGGACTAAAACCAGACACCTGAAATGAAAATCTTAATGATGAAGGGGATTGACAGCTAAGGGAGCTAAAGTTTGGAAAAGGACAAGTGTTGAAAGCAGGAGGTATCTGGCGTGTGCCTCCCAAGAGTCTCAGTCAAGCAGGTTAGAGCTTCTTCTCTCCTGATGCACTGTGAACATCTTTAGACTGGGATTGTTCCCTCATCTTATCCTGTGTGTTCACTGTAATTATAGTATGAGGCATAGGATATGTGTAGTGAAGAAAGGATGGAAATTAAAAACCACACACTTTTTATTTTCTTTTAATATCTAGCCCTTCATTGAGAAGGATAAAGATGAAATTTCCATGAAATCACTCCAACTTCTACCATAGACAATGAACTTTCAATGCCCTCCCTCATTTTCTGGCCAACTTCCCTTCTCAATATAAATAAATCTCCTAGATCCATCGTCCTCTCCACCCCTTAATCCTCCTCTTCCCTCCCCCTTCTTTCTTCGAGGGTTGGTTTTGAAGAGGCAGGAACTCCTGACCTTGGCTTCCTATTTGCTGGGACAATTTCAACAACATAAACACACTGCTTACTGTTTATGACTTTTTCCTAACATCTCAAACATTCTTTTTCTTGTCTTTGGGAAAGTTACTGGAAATACTTGTCCGACATCAATTTTTAGCCCATTGGTTTCAAAAAACAGAAGTAGGTGAAATTATGCCAATATAGTATTAGTCTTCACCATTTCTTGTCTACTTCTGGACATAAGTAGCTCTAGAGAAATAATAATGAGAAGAAAATCCTGTTCCTGCCCTGATTTCTGCTTAGGAAGAAGCAGATATTGCAGAGGGGAGGCCAGAGAATGGTCGTTTTTGCCTCTTGAAGATGAAGCCTCCCTGTGCCTGAGAAACAGTAAACGGTCCTGACTGTGAGTTTGGCTTCCTTCCAGAAAGGAACTAATTCACTGAAGCACAGAATCGCATTCTTCTGCAAACAGAAGGAAACCTGAAGGAGCCACAAGACTTCCCAAAGATTTTGGGCACAGGGAAAAAGTTAATAAACACAAACAAAAGGAAAATTTTAAATTAGGAGCTAAATGTTCTTTTTTTAAAGTTACAAATATGAAGTATCAAAGAATTATTACTAAACCCACGTGTCTTTAACAAGTGAATTGCAAGCAGAGGTCAGAGTACAAAAAAGAAATTATTAACTTGAACCAGAGCATCGATTACATGTTGCTTTAGCAGCTTTTGCACCTTGCTTGTTCTGAGTGTGATTCCTTTTCCATGAAAATTAGGGAGTTTCTTTTGTTGTGTTTTATTTTTCTCAGTAGTTAACTTACCTCTACCTCTAGTCAAGAAATATCAATCCATAATGGAAGCTATACTTCAGTCAACCCTTATTCTTTTGCCATGAAAAAAAAATTTCCAGTTGTTAACTTATCCTTCCCCCTAGCCAAGAAACACCAGTCCACAGTGCAGGCTGTACTTCCAGTTAAGGGGCGAGGCTATTGCCTACCAGGCTAAGAAGCACAAATGCACTGTAGCCCGTCACCCTGCTGAAGATGGACCCCAAGAATTTTTATATAGTAATGCAAAGCACATACAAACCACTGACCTACACCCCAAGTCCTTTTTTATTGTTTTTTAATGTGGCTGGCAGAAAACCTAAATTTACCTACATAACTGGCATCGCATTTCTACTATACACATATACTTATCATCCCGAAGTCTAGGTCATCTTCAAGTGTTCCTTCCTTCAAATGTCAGCTATAATTCTTTTAAGTCATCTTCAAAAAAAAGCAATCTTTCTCTGCTCTGACTGGTCTTTGTGTATGTGTGTGGTGACGGCAGCAGCACCAGGCCAGTGGAGGAAATGTGCATGCAAGCATGTGCTCTTGCATGTGGAGGAAATGTGCATGCGTACATGCCCACCTGCATGAGGAGGAAATGTGCATGCGTACATGCCCACCTGCATGTGGAGGAAATGAGCATGCCCACCTGCATGTGGAAGAAATGTGTATGTGTGCATGCCCACCTGCATGTGGAGAAAATGTGCATGGACAGGCTCCAAAGCTACAGAGAAACCCTGTCTCAAAAAACTAAAAACTAACTAACTAACTAGATAAATAAATAAATGAATGAATGAATGAATGCAGCACTAAGCTACATTCTCACGGATGCTTTGAGCATCACATAGACTGCTTCTGCATCCTACTTCGTATCCACTGGGGATAATTTGGAAGGAGTGGTGCATTTTAATCATTTGCTGATTTCAAAGATGTTACTTCTGCAGAGAGAGCTCATCCAGACAGACACATGACACGTGAAGTTTGGATAAGTAACCACACTTCTAGTTTCTACATCCTGCATAAATCACTGGAATGGAAGGCAAAACAGAAGTCTTCATTCTTGAATAGGGAAAATTTTTGAGTAGGTTCAAAGTTCAGTTTCTTTTTTACTTTTTTTGCAGGAGATTGAACCCAGGGTCTTACAAATGTTTAACTCAAGCTCTGCCACTGGGCTCCATGCCCAGCCTCAAGTTTCATTTTCCACTGGTGTTGTCTTAAAGCATGAAGGTCACAAAGATTAAGCAACACAGATCCATCAAGTACTCTTGAGAGTAGCTCCTTACAAATTCCGGGAGTCGCATTCTCTCTGGAGGTCAGAAACAGTGTAAATAGAGCCCTTCGTAAAAACCTCTACCATCTGTGAGTACTTTTCACATATACCAAATTAAGCAATTTTTAGGTTTTTTTTTTTCTACCAACCACATTTAACAAATAAGAAAATTTAGGTCCATGAAAACAGAGAATGTCCAAGTACTAGAACCATGATTTCTGACAGACATTGTTATTTTTGAGACAAGATTCCACATGGTTCAGGATAGCCATAAACTTGCTATGTGGCTAAAGTTTGTCTTGAATTCCAGATCTTCCTGCCTCCCTCTCTCAAAGGTGGGGAT